CACTCCACCGCAGAGGAGCATGCGATGGGTTGCTTACCCCTGTAGCTTTTCGGGATGGTCCAGCAGTTCGTCCAATTGCATTCTGCATTGCTTGTGTGTCTAACAAATGCGAACGACTAATCCGCATACCTCCTTAAGGGAGTTAGGGAGTGCAATCGAGGTTCGATGGCTGATCACTGCCTTACTGTCACTACTTTTTCAATGTGGTCTGTTGCCTTAACTCAGACCAATTTTAATTATCTCGGATTTGTCGGATTCATCTCCGCCCCGCATAGCGGAATAACTAATGAAATATTGGAAAAATTCATTACATGGCGCTGTAGAACAAAACAAAATATTCACGTCAAATGCAACACACATGTTGGATTTTGTGAATCTATATCATTAAATAACTCCTAAACAGCGTTCTAGGACATTAGAAACTAAAATCTTGAGGCTAAAGGCCTCAAAGAAACGTTTATCGCACCGAAATCTACAGGATGAGATCTGTTGAACATTCTATTACATTTTTGCTGGGGGAGATAGGGGGTGACGAAGAGAGAGAGGTAGAAGAAAAGAAAGAAAAGAAGATGACGGGCAGAACTATGTATGCTGGATTCCGCTAGTGTATTATAATTAATACATTGAAACAATACTGCATTCAATTATATCACATTTTGGTTAAGATAGTATCTAATATTCCTCCATTCCGCAAAAATTACAAGTGGGGGGCTATTAATGAATTTTCTATATTTTTCCAAAGATTATTAAAGCTCAATTAGGTAATATGTCTCTCGATGTTAATAATTATTGCATTTTTTTTATAAAATACTAATTTAAAAAGACGACATGTAATAAAAATGTTCGAAGGGAATGTCTTCTACTCGAATAGCGCAGGGGACAGAAATTCATTAAGTTAACACTTTTATATCTGATGAAAGGACACGTGTGTCCAAACCTTTCATAATTTTATTTTATCATCATCGCTACGGTCATGATAATAGTTATTTCGAACACTTTTCTAAATGAAAAGGTAGTGACTTGACACGTATGATAGAATAACGCTTCTTTAATTCAAATGTGTGAACGAGGTGTGCAGCCAGAATCTAAACAAACGGAAGGGCGCAATTATAATTGTAAGTAAACGTGACTAGAAACATAAACCTCAGCATCCGCATACTATAACCAAAAACTTACGGATGCTCTAGAGCACACTTACACGTAAACCATAGCTTGCCACTCAACACTTTCCCGCGAAACGTTTGAGATGTCATTCTGGACATTGTAGACATCCATAATACGTCACACATAGTTTTAACGTTTTTTAACGTTAAATAAATAAACGGAGAATAAATATGCCTTGATGAAGAATAGAAAGTTAGTAGATTTGCCCACGTAAGTCTTCGCAGGATATGAGAGAAACTCCTACTATTTATTAATTTATACGATAGATAGCACAGCGTTCGTCGTGGCGAAATTTGAGAAAGAGCTGACATAACCTCAACTCACAATAGTATTGTGTGTTGCCACGAATGAATGTGTCCTGTGTTATTTTGTGGTAAAGAAAAGAAGATGATCCTTCACTGACTGAAGTAAAAGGTTAACAAAAAGTGAAGATTTCCTGTACACACAATGTGCGTCAGTGCAGTCACTACAAAACTGGTTATCTGGTTTTAACGATTTGAACAATAAAATGCCGTGTCTTTAGGTGTCATCCGATGTCACTCCGTCCATTAGTTCTGGTTTCAGTAATTTGAACTATGGAATCCAGTCTGTGATAAACATAAAAATGATTTAATCGTTTTTCGTCATTAGTACAAATATTTAGTTTACAAAGAATCGACCAAGCTTTAAACGAGTAGCAAAAATGTTCTAATTCAATAAATAATGAACTAGAAAAAGAAAATAGCTTTAGTTTAAAAAGATTAATCGATACTCTTGTTTTTATGGAAATAGGCCAGTCTTTTAGATGCCATGAGTCAGAATAGTCAAAAAGTTAGGGATTGTATGTAGAATCACTGAATACCTGGTTTATTATGATTCTGTTTTCACTAAAAATTAAACAAAGAGAGCAGTGTACCTACTATTTAAAAGCATATTTCTTTTGTTCAGAATTAGTTGATTCAAGTTGCCAAGTGATAAGTTGATTGTTGCCATTGTTGTAACTGATACTATAAAATAAGAAAACGGCCTAGCATCTTTTGCAGAAATAATGTTAAATAAAACAACAGATACTTCAAAGAAAATACAAATAGTAACAGTTATAAGACCAATAATGACGAAGAATGTAAAGGAAGGGGTTTAATATTTTTTTCTATTCATACAGATGTCAGAAGTAATTGTCTAGATTTGGAAGGTAAGTATTAGTACATGCATTTTATGGAGTGGGTGTAATGTCTCGAAATGTGTTAGGACTTCTTACACTGATAAATAACAGAAATCTATCAATATATTTTATACAATGTTTAAGTCATACATTTAATATAAATGTTTCACAATCCACAAACTGTATAAAGCAATGTAGATTGTTTTTCAAATTCATGACAGACAATTTATTTTGATGATTTGTTGTTTCTTCAAAAGAAACTTTTTTCTTCATAACAAGTGCAGACATGTATTACAATAGTAAGATTGTGGAATTCTTTGAAACTTTTCAAAATATAAGAAACAAATTTTGAAGATCTGTGGAGAGAGAAGATGATTCAACGAAAAGAAATAAACACCGCGACCACAAAGCAAACCTTTGAGAAGGAAGATATTGGGAGAGAATTTATTAATATTGGACAGAGTTATATTAAAAATGAACCAACAATTTTGAGCAATAGAAAAAAATTAAATTTGTTTCGCTAGGGGATTGTGATAATGTTATTTCCTATTGAAATTATTTTTCTGAAAGTCTCTTTTCTAAACTTAAGGAAGTAAACTTTTGACATTCTGCATAAAAGATGAAAGGAAAGCTGTATACGTATAAGAATGATAATAATACTAGTATAAATCTGCTAGTAAGCTGAACAATATACATGAAGTATTTACTGAAAATATAAGTTGGTGTAACTTGTTTTAACTTTCCCAACAACAACATCGAATGCGGCTTTTCAGCTCTAAAAAACGTCCTTCGGCCAGGTGCAACTCACCAATCTAAAGATTCTTTCCATTAAACACAGGCTTCTGATATGAAAAGAGAGGAATGTTTTATGACCTGTGACAAAGAAGTTTACTCAAAAAAGAAAGTTTCTGTTCAAGAAAGCAAAACGTAAGTATTTTCTAATTATTACATAGTTTGAAATATTTCACAATTCTTTTGATATCTTTTATATATCTTTGAATACTTTGCGTGTATTTTTTATTTAAATGCTCTAGCATTTTCATATTATTATTATCTTTGGCATATTGGCATCTAATGCCTTTAGCTTTTTACTGATTGGCGTTAAAATTAATCATATATTAAATCTAAATTTTGTAGAAAAGATTCGCCTCTTTCAAGAACTGTATTGTTTTGTCAGTTGCTGTCTTGTCGGTGCCGAGATCTGTCTTCATGTTGCCTCTCATGCCGCATCTGTGTCTAAGTCTTGAGAGATCTACAAAGTCTATCAGAATATGTTTCACTGTCAGAAGTCTTCCGCAGCTGCAGATGGGTTGTTCTTCATTTCTTAACATGTATGAAGATGTCATTCTTGCATGGCCTATTCTTAGTCGGGTTATGCACACTTGTTCTCGTCGAGGGTAGCTGATATATGGTGACCATTTACTGATATTCTGTTTAATGGGGTGTAGTTTCGTGTGAAGACTGTTCCACGTGGTCTGCCATTCTGTGAGGATGCACTTCGAGACAGCATTTCTTGCATCTTGAAGTCGTATTTCAATATCCATTTCTGATTGAATATTCCCGGCATTTCGTGCTGCAGAATCGGCTTCTTCATTGCCTAGGATACCCACATGTCCAGGGCACCAGATGACCGTAACTGATGCTCCTCGCTGCTCTAATTTATGGCATGCTATGAGAATCATTTGTAGCAGTGGGTCTACAGTTTGGCGTCTGTCTATTGCAGTGAGAAGACTTAGCGAGTCTGTGCAGATGACGAACCTTCCTGAATCGAGAGTTTCACAGTGTCGCAAAGACTGCAATAATGCATATAATTCGGCAGTGTACACACCTGCTTCAGGTGGAAGCGCCCAAGCCCTCGACAAGTTCTCAGTTACAAATGCGCTTCCAACCCGATGTTTTATTTTTGAACCATCTGTGTAGATTATGATGTGATTTGCCATGTATTCTTCGAGAACTGATCAAAATCTGACTTTTAAATCTATTGGAAGGCATTCTGTTTTCTGTACACTGGTAGTATCGAGTCTTACTTCTGGCATTTTTAACATCCAAACTGGAATTTCATATGGTTCGTGTTTCAAAACTGGTGGTAGGACGATGTTGTAGCATTTGGCTACCTCGATTGCGCGGATGTTGGCTGGACGAGTAGCTGAAGGTCTTTGATCGTAAATATTTACTAGCTTAGGTCGAGTCATTAATGAGTGGCTTTTTCATGCATTTTTATTTACAATTAATATTGTTTAAACAAAGAGAATTGAAATATTTTTACGTAACTATAATTTTAAATTTTAATGAAAATACTTACCCCCAATAAAAGATCCGAAATTCCGCCTTTGCATTTACTCTTACTATAGTAACAATGATAACATCGCAGAGCAACAGAAAGGCTATAGCATAGGCTCTGTGAGATCTAAACAATTGATCATTGACTCAGTGGTGTGTGGTCAAGTTTATCTGAAACAGCTCAAACTGCACATGGCGTATATTGATTACTAGAAAGCCTTTGACCCAGTGGCATATAGCTGGCTGATATAAATACTTAAGATCTATTAAGAAGTCGAACTAAAAGTTATCTCATTCTTAAAGTATATGATGTTGAATTGGCGAACAAAAATTATCTTGAATAAACCTGTTAACCATATCGAAATGGAAACTATCAATACGAAGAGTTTTTTCCAAGGAGACTCAGCCCTCTCTGATGGTATCTTTATGGGTTTACAATGATCAAGGTGATAATCGTGAAAAGGCAACTAGATTAAGCATCATGATTGATGCTGGCATTGTACTCGAGTAAGTCAATTAAGTGAATGTAAATCCTGTTTATTATTTTAACTTATTTTAATAATACCACGTATATAATGTGACATAGCACAGTCGGTATAAAGAAAAACGAGGCGAAGAAAATATAAAGGTACAGCTGAATGTTTGGTCTCTGGAAACAAGAAAAAGAAAATAATACACCGTCAACTCCAATAAAGGATGAAGAGTGCTTACAATGAAAACCGGACGATGAGATTTATGACAATCCATTCTATAGATACATAGAGAGGATTACTTATTGACCGAAGAAAATTATCAACTTTACCGTGACAAAATGGAATCGTCTATGCGACCTCCGGCAGTTCTCCTTTGAAGGTAACCTAAAGGAAAATTGGGAGAAATAGCGACGCTTTGAATTACATTACAAAGGACAAATGCAGCCAAACAACTTATGTCTGCAAAGGATGATTTTTCGAATCGCAGGCAGTTCACACTTAATTATTAAATCTATAATATGACATCGTTTACGATGTCCATAAGAAAAGCCGGCGTCGTAAGCCGAATTGCTTAACTACGTTCCGTGAAGTCACAGAAGTTATGCCCCTCGAGACACCACGGATTCCTGGACTGGTGACCGTCTGGGAATCCCGATTACTAAGTGCGCTGAGCATGTGGCCGAAGGGATAAAATGCACTGACTGACTGCGACGTTATGAGACAAAAGCCAAAAAAACTTACCGGAGGATTACTCCATATGTATGCCCAAAAAGAGGTTAAGACACATGTTGCGAAAAAGACGCAACCATTTTTTTAAAATAAACATTTATTTATAAAACGGGAAGAACTTGGAAAACATCTAGAATTCGTGACAGGAGTACGATGCCCTATGAGTGTGCAAGGATTGCCAAATTGAATGTAATGGTCTTGAGTAAAAGATGCTCGTGGTAAACCAAATTAATAATTATTCATTAAACTGGCAAATCTGGCAATTGTTCAAAAACATATTTACAATATATATTAATGTCTGTTACTGTTACGATTGTTACAAAATACTTCGATGACCAATTTTATCACACACCTATATTATTATTGTATGTCTCTGCTTAAATTGGCCATCAAATTATTTGTAACAAAATTAATCAATTTTTTAAATGTGTGGTAACGTGGTTTTTATTATTGTGTTGTTTTGGGGTCTCGGGGGTCTCCCTCCTTGGTTGGGGTCTCGGAAACCTATCGGTTTAAATCATCTGTAGCTACGACACCAGCTTTAATGATAATATGTGTTTGCCATGTATGCAACATAAACTTCACTTGTTCCACAGAGAACTGTTTGAACAATTTAACGTTGGTTGCAGTGTGTCTTGCAGGTATTGCAATTAACGTTAATGGGTGGACACAGCGTTTATTGTAATGGATAAAATATACAGTATGTAGAATGGTTTGTTTTAGTTTTCATTTTCAGACAATTTTGCACGTGGATTTTAACACTTTGTTAAATGTTTTTCGTAATACTGCCCCTTAATATATCTGCAAAACGCAACCGAATAGAGGAATGAAAAGGTAATTTCCATGGCCGCCGGCCGTTAAAGAGCCAAGTGATCTTCAAACTATTTTTTAAACATCGAAATCGGACGACAAACAACGTAAGTAATATACACACACAACATAAATAACACTCACAAAAGTAATTGTCAACTGTTCAATTAACGTATTCTAATTTTTTACTTATAATTTCTCATCATAGTAAATCTGAACATTGAACTATTATTATTATTATTATTATTATTATTATTATTATTATTATTATTATTATTATTATTATTACTACTATTGCTAATTTCTAGTCTTTTGATGTTGATGCAAACTCCTCGGTGCTGAATAACTGTTTAGAAATTTTAATTCATTTCGATACCTTTTACCAATATATTATTCCTCTACTGACGAGGGCTCCCAAACTCCAAATTCTTTCGACGACATACCACCACCGTTTAGGCAGGCGCGGATCCACGGGGAGGGAATTGAGGGAAATCCCCCTCCCCTAAAATTTTTCGGTAACTACTAATTTTAATTTCTCATCAGTCTTTCAAGAAAATATATTGTCGGATTATCATTAAAACGAATAAAATTGTATCGCACCGTAAGCAGAGTGTAGCCTGCAACATTTTATAAAATTGTGGCCGGTGATCGACAATGCTCTGTTTAGAGCTGAAGAGAGTCTAATTTTAAAAATCCCGCTATATTTTTTGGAGTGTCTACTATTGTGTGCATACCAACAAATCGTTTTGTGCATTTCACAATTCTATAATCTACAAAAAGGCGTCTTATTTCTAGATTAGATGGTCGTAAGTTGACATATTTTTATACAAATCATATGCATTGAATTAAAGACCGTCTTTGCGTATTACAAACTTTTTTTTTTGGTGCAATTCATTGCAACTAGCATTCCGTTGCTCGTCGTTTCTAGTTCATCAATAGTCAATGACACAAGTTCTTCTCGTTGACATGTGCTAAAAGTATAAAAAATTACAATATTTTTTTAAGTAACCATTTGCTTCCAGTAAACATTTTCTATTATGTCCTTACGATAAAACCTTGCCTACTTGTAACTGTCGTGTCTGAAGCAACAATCCTATCGATTTGAAATGAAAAATGGTGTTGCACTCCTATGTATTAAAAGCAAGGGTGTTTCTTATTTATATTATATTTTTCTTTTAAGATGGTATTACAAAAGGTACTGAACGACACACGACCGATATCACAAATAACAGACTTGGTTTGTTATAAACCACAGCTATCACCTCGGTTTACAAACTTCAGGCGCGTCTGTTATTTGGTGTTTATCGGCCTAATGACGTTAATGACTATAACACGTCAATTATGACTTTTATAATTTATTGTATTTATTATACATTATATGTACAATGATTTTCGATCCAAGTTTACATTGTATTCACTACCTGGCGTAGAAAACGTGATTGTAATGATACTATGTATGGATCTACGAAATTTTATTTGAATCAAGTTCAAACATTTTCTCCACTTTCAAGCCTTCTTGGTAACGAGAAGTGGTTTTTGGTGATGTGGAAATTCAAAATAGGCGGTCTCAATCCTCTTCGGGATTGTTCGGCTGTAACTTCGCGTACTGCCACAGTTGGCCAGAAATTCTGTACGTATCTCGAGTTTGGCTGAGGCTGCTAGCTGGCAGTCAAGAAGCAAAAATGGCAGCAGATGGTGATGATGTGATATCTGATGTAGAAAAGGTATACAGTTAATTAAAGAGTACTCTCATATTATATTCACTAATATAGGTGCCTTAACATTGAGAAATAGGGCAATTCCATGTTAATTTGTGTGCGAAGTAAGTAACGCTTTGTAATAAACTATTTCCTCTTTCGTGTACGATTACTTACTAAACATTTCGTGTTTTCTTCACATGAAACATCAGTGTTGATATCAATATGAAAAAGAGTGTGTGTTATCGGTATTTTGTTTATGTGTGTCAAAAGTGCCCCATTCATACCAATAGTTTCGCAATTAATTCGAGGATGTGATTCCGGGCTTTGGGGCGTTGCCCTTGTCAAACCTACGGCTCTAAAGAGGCGCATTGTTGCCATGTGATTACTCCTTTTCCAGTGACAGTGAATATAAACGGTACCATGTCCGTTAAAGTAGATGTGTAAAGCGCATACGCAGCGCTATTGATGATGATCAGTGTAATATGTTTGGTGAATCATGGTCATTTACAAAATCGGCGATGTATTAATTATGTTATCATACCTGTGTTTGTGCATAGTTTTTTAACTGCTTATTGTTGTGATGTCACTTAAATGCAAATAGTATGTGCTGAGTAGGTGAACATCACACTTCTAGGTGTATATGGCAAGTTATGCACATGTAAATAGTGCCTCATGTGTGTTGTGTTATCTGCCATATATGTATTTTTTTGCCATGTTTGTTTTATGGAAATAATAGATTGTATCATTATTCACATGCTTTTAATTTTTAGGTGCGGATAGTATCAGATTTTATACTACATTCCCCTCCTGGAGAATTTAATGAAGTTTTCAATGGTATGTCCTTATCAATGTCTACATCTACCAAAATTATTTTCAAATTTTTAAGGGAAAATTGTTTTCTAAATCTTCATAAAACTCTCTCTCTCTCTTTCGGTCTTGTTTATGTAATTTGAAAGGAGCGTAGGAATCCATGGTATCATAAAAAAATTGTAACGTTCAAAAACAAACACTTGGTAATCATGCATTTGGGGTAATTCATTTTAAAATGATTGATTAAAGTTTGCTGATATTAGATAGACTAATTAGTGTTGCTGACAATATACTTTACCCATTCTCCGAATGTAGTATGGTTTTAACCTTTGCACAATATTTGGAGGGTGGGGAACAAGATTTTTAGACTCTGTTTGATTCAATTGAAAAACTTCTTTTTAAACTTACTTGTGTCATTATTCTTTCATGGTTTTCACTGTTGTTTTTAACCTGTATATACATTCTATTATTGAACTTTAATTTACATTATATTTTGACTCCTCAACCAATTCCTATCTTAACAAATGTTTTCAATATCCTTCTTCTGTTGTCAAAATGAACAGTATCTCATTCACTCATTTATTTGCTTCATTTATTAATTTATATACCTATCAAAGCAACCTTTAGTTTTATGTGTATACTCTATTGGATTGAAACTGCTCAATTTGATTCTGGGGAGAGCTGTGGAGAAAAAGCAGTTCTGTTTGTGGTGTGCATCATGAAAAATCTGTGATATCTAAATATGCTGTCCCTCATGTTAGAGTGACTCATTTCACAATTAACTTAATGCATTTTAACTATACTTTCCTGATAATCATCACCTCTACAACCATTTCTTAGTATGCTTTAATAGTGATAATTCACTTTGTCAGTTGTAGTAAAATGTCAGACATTTGCTGACAATGTTCAATAGATTTCAAGGTGAGCGTTAGTTGAAATTGGTACAAAAGTTTTAGCTTCGAAGCTTTAAGAAAATTGCATTGTCAGATATGTGATATAACCCTTTCTTCAAATTTTGTATGTTAAGAAATTTTTCGAATTGTTTTGTTACACATTTTAAATTAGTTGTAACTTGTATATATTTTCCAGTTTCAAGAAAAGATTTCTTTCCCATCAATTTTTAATATCACAAGCAGTATTTTATTATTAGAAGCATTTGTTTTAAAATAAAATTGTTTTTGTGGCGCTCTAAAGGTTAAATTTTTAAACAGTAAAACTAATATTGGTAGATTGTCTCTCTGTAAATAAAAAAAAAAATAATTAAAGATTAGACCCTTATTTTTATTTATTTTTTGTATGATGCAATCTTGGCCCTGCATAGTTTCTTTACAACCTTGAATTGTGTTTAATATATTTTTGATATTCAATAAAGCATGCAGTGTCCAAATTATATTGTGGAGACATACATTTATGTGAAGCGGTTGTTCCAAGAAAAGTCTTAAATTTTCTAATTTTATTTTTCAGATGTCAGAATTCTACTAAACAATGATAGTTTATTAAAGGAAGGTGCTTCTGGGTATGTATTAATAATATATATATTTGTTATATTAGCATACATTTTTAAAGATATTCGCTGCAAGAAAAGTTTGGTCATGGAAGAATGGACTATTTGAACCGGGTAATTTTTGGTTATGTTCAAATGTGATGCTCATATAAATCAAAATTTTAGTAGTTTTTGTGTCTCGTAGAAAAGGAAGCGCTCTTACCACAAATTTAATTGTGTTTTGTGTATAATGTGTATATAATAAAATTTAATGTTTGCTCTTAATTTGATTAAGGTTTTCTACCTACTTTTTGATACCTTCACTTTTTTTTCCTCACAGCTTTTTAAATTGTGCAAATTTCATCATCAATAGTGGCTTCTATTAAAGAGATATGATTTTCCCCCATTATGTGACTAGTTCTAGGGGCCAGATAAGAAATGAAATAAGCTCTAATTTGTTGAAGAACCTAGAGAAAATTATTCTTACCAAATATGTAAAATTAAGATATAGGGTTGTTGGTAAGGTTTCGTTACATAGTGGCATGGAAGGAAAATTTGAACCTGCAAATGGTAAAATGAACGGATGTATTTGGATATTGACTCTAGAATATTCAATCTTCAATTTTCTTTTATTTATTTTACTTCTTTGCTTCTTGCTTTACAGGTAACTGTATTACTGTACAAATGTATAATTTGTTTATTTGGCTATTATTAATTTTTGTTCTTCAAATATTCTAGGGAATTGAGAAACACACAGAATTCAGCCTGCCTCTGATATTTAATTTTAATTATAGAACCTTTATTTTATATCTACGTTGTTACCATTGCAAATTCTTTATTGTACAGTTTTTTGTTTCTTGTTCAAATCTGGAGAATGTTGCATTTGGTATTACATGATAAAAATATTCACAAGCACTATCAATGCCACCCATCCGTTGAAATTACACCATTGGAAAAGACAATTTTAATCCTGTATTACATATTCTCTTCCATACTTTAAAACTCAGGGCAGTTCAAATTTCATGAATTTTTTGTAGTGAAAACTGCGCTAATTACTATAAAGATACTATGAAGAAGCATAAGTAATATACAGTCCAAAAACAGTATGAGGATCTTAGCTTTTACTTAAGTTTGTGAGATTTTTTTTAGTTACAAATACATCCATATTCATGTCTGTGAAAATCATGGGGATGATACGTGCTAAGTTGTGCAAAATTCTTATAATTTAAAAACTACTTGCTTGTGAAATAGGAAAAATGCGAAGGTACAAACTTTTTTGTGAAGAAGTAATATCTATGATGGGGTTGTTGACGTATGGTATACAAATGGTTTTTGAGATGATTAGTGGTCAAAACAGCAGAAACCTTCAGTCTGCTGAAGAACAGTTAGAAATAGCTGAATTTTATTAAATCTTGGGATGTTTAAAGTTTTTCTGTTGTGTCCACCTGTTCTGTTCATATGCAACTAAAATTCACTGTTGTACAGAAATGGGGAGTTTATGAATGACGTATGGGAAAAGAAAACAGGGTCCCTATGGTTTTGCTATCTAGCATGTTTGCACCACTTGGTAGTTTTGGTACTGAATGCAGTGGGTTCTTGAGAGGACGTTACCGAAATGAGCTTTCAGTGGGTTTTGACATGGTTTTCTTGTTACCCCCACATTCCATTACTTTCACCTCATAATCTTTATTGATGTCATCTAAGTATATATTATATTATAGTGTGATATTCTATTAAGTGTGTGTGTGTGTGTCTATATATATTTAATGCGGCCCCAAAACCCATCTTCCCTTGTAGCGTTACACAATCTCCACCTCCCAGTCAATTTACACCAGGCATTCCTACATGCGGTATAACAGTGATCATGCCCACATATGTATGTATCTTGGGGGGAGGGGCGCTTTTGCCGGCAATACTATCAAATCAGATCTGTACTTCATTTGCCTAAAGAAATAGTTTATTACACAGGAGCGAAAAATATCAGATTATACAATGTTGCCATCAGCTTTGTTATTTTTCTGTTCATGATTCAATTATGTATGGTAAAATAAGGACCAGGGATTCTGGTGTAGAAACTCCATGCGGATAGTAGACTCCCTGCTCTTGAATATGATGTAACATTGATTAACAAAAGAATTGTAAGTTTCCTATTCATAGGAACGCTATTCATTGCTCGAATACCGCTACCACAGACTCAATGACCCCAATTTCCATTTGCTACATGCATGTTTGTGACAAACCTGAGAACTGTCTCTAATATACACACACACACACACACACACACACACATATGTGGGCATGATCACTGTTATACCACATGTAAATTGACCATGCTGAGCGACCGCAACCAACGACCGCCGACTGAGTTCTTGGTAACACCACATATCCGTGCTGCAATAACTCGGAAGTTTTAATTAGACATTAGGCGTCACGAAAGGTATAGACGCGCAGTTCATAGGGCAATAAATGCAGAATTGATACACATTCAACAGCACTCGGATTTCACAGACCACCCGAATGCATTTCTGGTTTATGTCATGAAAACTTTCTTACTTAAAAACAAGTTGATAATATAAAAAAATGCTTTTATGCAATAAACCAATGAAACTTGCAAATTCGCCCAGTAAAATCCCCAAATGTGCAATTTTCAAGCAGCGTTACGTAAAACGTGCAATATCTTGCAGTCGCTCACAAAACGTCTAATTTCGTACTAAAATAACCCCCTTGTCACAATTCAAATTGATGTCAAAGTTTCATCCAATTTCAAGTTAGCAAAGAAAATATGCAGTTTCACAGGAATCAGGTCTTTGGTATTAATAGACGTCACAAATTATTGTTTTCGCCGTTTTATAATTTACATTTACTTAAAAAATAGGGGCTTGGTAAAATGATACGTAATTGTTTAGGAAGTTCAAGCTCTCGTTTCACGGAGGAAGAGGGGGGATTCAAAATACTCCAAATTTGCGGTGCGTTATTTATGGACTACCCCATATCTAGGTGCTTCATTTATGGTTTATGGTCAAATAAAAGAAACTCGAAAAAGCGTTCACAAGATCATTCTTAGGGATTGAAGGAAAGTTGAGTGAACTTTTTGTCACACACCCCGTTCCCTAAAGAAAATGGTCAGTACTATCAATGCTACTACGAATGCGCGAGGCGACTTTTTAGGTTTATTCATCGCGTGTAGGTCGGAAAATTACGTAGCCAATTATGGGCAGGGCACAGAAGTAACAAGTATATTCTCGTAGTATCGAGACTGGCGCGACTCCGTTTTCTAGGGCGCTGCTCCGGCATTCGCTCGGTAGTGATGAGAGAAACCACAGAAAACTACTGATCAGAGCAGCTGGCTGCTATACCTCTCGGTCAGGGTCTTTACAGAAACAGGAGAAAACAACACATGAGGCCAACTCAGCCGGTATACATTTTGAATAGCAGCCCTTGTGAAGTGGCGGACTGGAGCCTGTTTTGTACGACTGTGCTTAATGACTTTTGTGGCCTGTAACCAACAAATCAGTTGCTTCAATATTTCAGCACATCATAGTAAGCAGCAATAAGATACTAAAAATCTAGAAAAAATGACTCAATTGTGAAAATAAAAGAAAAAAGGCAGGAGACTAATTTGAATTTCATTAAAAATGGCATGGAGCTGTTTAAGGAAATGTTATGAATAAAAGTAGTAAATAAATTTGTCTGCCCTTGGATATATTTTTCTTAAAATTAGTAGACATAATGACTATTATTACAAATTGCCACTTTCTGGGAAACCAGGAAAAATCAGCAAATATTGCTCCTGAAGTCGGGGAAAAATCATTTTGTAGAAGAGTTAGAATTCAGGGAAATGTTTAATTAAATCTTTAAAATAAATTTGGCAGTTCTCCGATTTCGCCAAGACAAGAATTTCTTTTTTTTAATCTCAACAAATTGGATGTCTCTTTTTTGCAAACTTAACAAATGTTCAATTCAACTTAACAAATGTATTTCAATTTAATTCTCCCCATAGCATGTCACATACAGTTTTTAACTGTTTTTCAAGTATAAATTCACTAAGAACATAAAATTATAGTCAAATCTCTAGAATTTTTACCAGAGATTTTATGTCTCAATATTAATCTGAATCCATTGAACACTCTACTGCTCCACACTTATTTAAGTATGTTGTGCTAAAATTCGACAATGGGACACTTTCTCCCATTTATAAATTCATAGCAGTTCTGTGTAATTTATGTATTGTGGAGTATACAGACAGGAAAAAATCGCCACCAGGAAGATAACAAGAATTATGAATAGTATAAAATGTTTGTAAATTTTGTTCGTGGAACTCTTTACAAATATCCTATATTTTTGACAAAGAAAAAGAACTCGATAGAATGAATTCAGCGAAAATTAGATTCAGTTTGTTGCCTTTGTACCAAATGTTTCTTAACCAAATATGCCAGAAGGTTAAAGTATTTGGAATCTCCCATTACTCCCACCAAATACTATGTTTTGATCCTCTGAAATCCCAAGGATGCAAAATTTTGACGACTGAACTTAGAAGGAAGGAAGAAAGAAAGAATGAAAAATCAGTAAACAAATTTCGTTGGACCACGAAATATGTGGAAATCCCCTCTTAATATTAAAACTTGAACATGTCGTCCGTCGGCTGTACCCGACGAACCAGACGATTAGCTTGTGGTTAACCACGAGCTAATAGTCTGGTTCAAGTGCTTAATTTAGGAACAATTTGTTTTCTGTTGAAAGTGGGCTAAGACGCTTATTATCAGTACCCCTTTCTACCGGAGAATATCGATATGAGATAATTTTCAGGCTAAAAGTTTCTTGTTCTCGACATGGAAACTTCCCGTAATGCGAGTGTTCTGGTGACGGAAACGAAAAATTGAACAAATTGAAACATTGAAGATTGTAATCTTATGTCGAAATTCTAAAGAAAAACAAAAAGAAAATACCTGATAGTTCTTTTCTGATATTCGTGGAGACAAGCGTGTTCTCTTCTTATGTCGTTAAACAGCTGTGTTATTAGTTTTCAAAGCTAGAAAAAAAGAAAAATATTTTAAAGGTAGTCAAAGAGTTTCTTTGTGCAAATGTTTAAATTGTTCAGTAATATCACATCAATTTGGAATTTTAACTTCAAAAACATAATACCTGCGAATGTTTTTTTTGCGCAATTAAATTTTGCTAAATACTATTAATAGACTGATGGTAACCATTACATCGGAAGTTTGATCAAATCTATAGCTCATTTATCGATGTAAATAATGTATATTGCGCGGGAACGCCATTTTTATATTCTCAAATATTGCTAACACTCAATGGAATCTTATATACGTAACTAAACCATGAAGTTCGGTAAAGGGCTTCTCATGACGCCGCCGTGTTAAATCTATTAAGTTAACTGAAATAATATCACACAGTAATTATAATTCAATGTGGTAGAATACACAGCATGGATTTATTGATCTATGCTTTGTGTGTTATATAGGTTATGTTTCTTTAAAATATCATTCAATATATACTTATTAATGACCCAATATATATGTCCCAGTATCTTCTCAACAAAAAGATGAAAATAATTTATCATATGAATTAAATTTGCAGTATGAAATGTAAAATTGTAATAGAAAAAGCTACCAACCTTTCACACGACGATCATGAAGCTTACAAACCAATATGAAGCTCTCATGACAATAATGAGCTCGAGCAATAATGAACTCGAACAGTGTTTTTTTGCTCTCTAAGCCTCCCCCCCCCCCGCGTATTTTATATATAATGTATTATAATTTTATATTATATAAATATGTATGCCCTACATAATTTATATTTAATGACAATTGTAAATTTATTTTTATTCATTATTTTTAAATTATTATTTAATAATGCTCTACCATAATACTTGCATCCGCCATTGTTGGCTTAGTTTGAGGGTGGCAGGCTGAATTGATTGCATTCTTTGGAGGGCTGTGTATTATTTAATATACTATTTATAGTTATATTTTTTATTTCATATCAATTTTAATTTTATTATATTAGTGTCCGTAAAAGAATGGGAATATGGATTCTGAAGCTCAAGACAGCGTACGGATACGAGAATAATCTACGATACAAGTCGTATGTCTAGATTCTGTTCCGTATTTATTTTTGTTGGGTTGTGATGAAATAGCAATATAATACCCAATCTGTCTCGACATTCATAATGCATCAAGTAAAAAATCCGTAAATCCAGGTACCAAATTTTACAAGAGAGATGACACTTTATCTCTGATGATGTGTTGTTAATCAGCATATTAATATTGTAATTTTATATGTAAACATTTATCATAATTTTTAACTTAAACACTTAAAAAGTCAAATGTTGTATTTTAATGGATATTAAAAAAATCATTCTCTCAGGGATGGAAAGAGGGGAGTTTTGATTTCCAATTACAAAATAAGGAAAAGCTATTATATTCGGATTGTATCATGGCAAATAGTGAAATAGCAACAAGTAACAATACAGCAATAGAAATTGGACAAGTGTAACAAAGCGTCACTGCGCCTTAGAAGTAATTTGTATTCCAAGTACAATTTGTAAATGAAGCGTGTTTCCACTCGCAGGTATTCGTAGTACATGCTTAAAAAATACACTAGTTCCATTACGTTGGCTAAACCAAACCACATTTCACTTTTAAAATCCATGAGGTTGGTACTATGACAGGACGAGCAAAAGTGGCGTCCGTTCCCTGTAAGTAAATTGTATCCGAATCATAAAGAAAATGACACAATATTTATATATTAAAACATGAATATTAACAATATTAAAATATTAAACTGAAACATTAAAAATAGTAATGATGTTAGTACTATAAATAATACAAATAAGGAACTATATTGTTACGTTGATGTTACACATTTTATTTCGCTTTCACTTTCGTTGAGGATTTTGTGACCTGGTACTTACGGCTGCTAATTTTTGTTCTCATTTTTTACTTAGGTTAGAAATTAACTGCATTGAAGTTTTGAATTCTTGTTTTGGTTTTGGGGTCAATGGCGAGTTGGGTACTGTTAGACCTCTGTTTCGGTTTTAAGTATTAAAACTTATTTCATATTGCTCTTTTCATTTTCTTAATAATGTATTTAATTTTTTGTCGAAGGCAGAATTTAGAATCATTTTGTAGTTTGGTAATGATTCAAAATGTAGGAGAAATGTTTTCCATATTCAAATGTAACAATCAATGGCACACAATCGCTATGTGTGTGATATTGTAATAACAATCTTATACCAGAGATTTAACGTATCTGTGGGATATCAAGAAATCTGTTTTAGGTGAGAAACAAAAGCTGAAGTTTCATTATTATGGAACTAGAATTTGAGTTGGCGTGTTTCAAATGTGAGAGGAAAAGACACACATTTTGCCAAATTATTTTAATGAAAACCTGGGTACATCGGAAGTTGACGGTGTCACGATTCTTTTTACAGGAAAGTTTCCGTCCATCAGTAAGGAGTCTGTTCTCAACAACGTAAACATTCCGTCGTGAACGGGGATGGAGTACGAACGGAATGTGAATTTCAGTTCGTATTTTTCATCCCAGGAATTAATTTTATACCCAACGTGGTAGAAGTGAGGCAGACGCAATTTCCTGTGGAATTGTGATGCTTCGCTACGCGTATCAAAGTTGAGGACGAGGCTCGCGCCTTCGGTCCTCGCGTGAACATAAAACATCCTTGAGTCTGTCCAACGCTTAATTACCAACGCATTATATGTAAATACTTACCTTAAAAGTCGTTGGGCGTTCATACTAGAATATAATTTTCTTTTCAAGGGAATAGTATTATACTGACTTACACCAACAACAAACCAAAATTCCAACACGAGAAATAATAAATCATTAAAAGGAGCCGTGATACCGCCAACTTCCGATCAACCAAAACCTGCAACAAAGTTTTATTAAATCAAATAGTTTGTATCTTAACTCAACAAAATATTGAAGATCTCTGTAGAATACTTGAATACATTAAAAAATCATATAATTTACATTTGATTTTTGTTTCTTATTAAGAACTCTGATGGGTGAAACCCCTCTTAAGCAACTGCCTGTCTCCACAAGTGTGTGTTCTGTTTGAATTCTTCAGTGATCATTTAATTGAGGTTTCATTGTTAGCTTTAAATATATAAATATGAATAACAAGAGAAAGTATTCTGACATGGTAAGCTGTATTACTTGCTAGAAGGAATGAAACAAATGTTAGATAAATAAGTTGACACCCATATTAAATTGTTTATATTTGTGCTTTTATTTTGTTTGTTTTTTAAAAGCATTATTTTCCTAAGCCTTCATCTTTGTATTGCTAAGGTGGCAATTTGTTTTTCTTCTAGTTTTGTGAACGCTTTGTATTTGTACATAAAACAAGATGTCATTTTAGTTATTAATATATTAGCATAATAATTTGGGTTATCAATTTTTATTCCTTTTCAGAGCCTTTGCGCATTACAACAAGGATCAATTAACTCCAGTAAAAATAGAAGGATCTGACCATCAGGTACTGATAACTGAACACAATGACCTTGGAAATGGACGATTTGCTGATCCTAGATCAAGACAGAGTTTTCGATATGATCACTTGAGGAAAGAGGCATCAGAGTATCAGGTATGCTAGTTGTAATAAATAAATGAATTTGTGGCTTAAGTGAACCTATTTGAATATTCATGCTACATTTATGATTAGCCATGGGAACCTGATCAAGTTGCTGAGTCATGGAGATCTACTTTGGAGTCAGAATTTACGGTCTACACTTCCAGCCATTATAAACATGGAATATGTAGTGTGTTTGGCAAAAGTGATGGTGATGAAATTACCTTAACTGCTTGTATAGAAGATCATCAGTTTCAACCTAAGAATTACTGGTAAGCACCTTAAAATACCAGATTAAGAGTACAAAAATATTAGTCTTCCTTGCATTATTGCAAAGAAATATCATTTTGTTTTCCTTGCCTACAATCATGCTAATGACGAAACTCCTTTCCTAATGTTGGTTTATGCAAATGATATTTTATAACAATATGAATTCAGAGTTTTTTCTTTCCCAAAAATTTATGCTAGTGAGAGTGAAGTATTTGGTAGGTATTCTTAATAATGTGTGTGACACAGTTTAGTCTCTTTGATGCCCTGGCCTGCATTATTTTTGCTGTTATTGAACCACTTATTTTGTATAAATTGAATTAATCTTACATTATGTCTGCAGACAATACGAGATATATTTGTTACTAAATTTTAAAGAAATGTAAGTTTAGAATTTATTATGTACTGATTAACATAAGTGGTCATTAGAGTCAATTTGCTTCTCAACAATTTTTTATAATTTTTCAGTTTATAAATTAAAGAAATAATTTTAAATGCTTAGTTTAGTACTGAGCATAGAAGATATTGTTTCTTATGTCAAATTTAGTTTTGCCAGCTAAATGACCTTTTTATATACTAGATGTTCAATATATCTTTTCGGAATATTTAAAATAATACAATAACCGATTCTAAATATTATAAGAATTTTAACTTAAAGTTGCTGCTCTGTAAAAGAGTGCCACTTGGGGCCGTAGCATATTTAAGCCATATGGAAGTTCAGGTCGTACTGTATGGCGATTGCTATTTCATTAGTATTTATGTAGTAGTTTGTGTTTTATATTTGCTGCATTTCACGACAACTTGCTTGAACACTAAAATTTGTTGACATGCTGTCGGTCAGGTATAAATAAAATTATATTAATTGACTAGTGTTTTAGAGTATATTATTCCATCTTCAGGGTTTTCTATAAAACTATCAGTTGTGCTAGATTTAAATCAATTGATAGTGTGTTAGATTTAAGATATTGGGGTGTGATGATGTACCTGATAAAATGAGGTAAAGTTTCATAGTAAGTTCTGAAGGTGGAACAATATATTCCAAAACTTGGTGAACAAATTTAGCTTTATTTGTACTTGACTGATGAGGTTGTAAGAACTGGTGCATTTTAATGTGCTAGATGCACCCTTCTGAGATAATGATTCTATGCACTCCTGTTGATTGATACTCGGTCCCCTTTAGTATTATGTATTACGTTTCAGGATAGATTACTGAATTGATATGAGACCTCGACATTAACCTCCTATAACATTAACAAGATGGCCTTTGCTGGAATAATTTCTGCATTCGAAATTGAACCACTTTACTAATATGTCATTTAAGATAGATAATGCAAGGTGTTAAATGAGAAGGTTTATACGAGTCGTGAATTTTAATATTGAGTGGCTATTCAGAGAAATACATGCACTATAGTGGATTGTCTTAAATGAGTAGAAATTGTGAGATTGTAAATGGGAATTAGTGTGTTTGAAACATGAAAGTTCTGCTTTTTCAGATTTTTATCTAGAAAATTATGAATTACTTTTGTACCTTATTGTTGTATTCTTCATATTTTTAGTTCATGCTCATATAGGTATGGTGAAATGTTCTTAATTAAGAATTCTTTATTGAAAATCTGGAGAAAGCAATGGTATGCGATTAGGACTTCATTTAATTTTTGTTTTATTTTCTTTATTTTTAATTTTAAAAGTACTTTTTAAAATAGTGAAGAAATAATTGTTTAGTAGCTGGGTTAATCAATAATGGTACATTTTTTCCTGTTTGTTAAAGCAAAAAATAAATATCTTTTAATATTGAAGTTATTCTAGTACCTACATAATGCCTGGAAAATAATGTGGTCAAATGCTACTTCTTGGTCCAGGTTGTTATTTTCTTGAAAAGTAATTAAGCTTTTAAATACTTTTATTTATATATTATGTGGTTATTATACGGAAGTCTATGGAAGAAAGCCAGTTTTAGTTATTTAATTTATAATAGTAATCTATTTAAAAATATTGATAATCGTTTTAAATTCAAATTAATACTTAAGTTAGCCTATGTTTTGGAATCTACCATTCCTTCACCAGAGCTATGAAAGCGGTACAACACAGTTAAAAATTAAATATAACAAAACAGTTATGAAACAATTATTGCTTTAACTAATAAATACTGACAGTTAAATATTTATAATGAACAATTCATATAAACAAAACTAATAAAAACATACTGTAAAATGGAGTGAATAGGATAACTTTTAATGTTCAAAGACCTGTATCTCCTAAAGCAATTGTGCTAAAGTGATGAAACAAAATCCATTTATGGGTCTTAATCTGTATTTTTTAATCCTATTTCTGATTTACTGTAAATTGTTAAAAGGGAATTATTATTATTATTATTATTATTATTATTATTATTATTATTATTATTACTTTGATCGATCAAATTGCATTGATTCCATTGGTCTAGTCATTGGGTGAATAGGATCAGTCATGTAATTTTCATTAATTAATGCATTAAGATGCTTGTTAGTGATTAGAATGACTTAATTTATTTTTAAATAATGTTTGCAAAATAGGAAACTGAAATATGTACACTACTGCAATTATTTTATGTATATAAACTTACAAAATGGATATAAAAAAATCACAGGCAAAATAATACAACTTATTCTAAGTACAAATGGTCAACAAAAAATGTGTGTTGTCCCCATTGAATTTTGAAGACTTTTATTCTCCTCTCGACTTTAACAGGAGTCACTCCACATATATCGACTACAACTGGGTAAACAAAGACAGTTGTTTTCTTTCCGACCCTCCTTGGGAGGCACTTCACGATTAATAGGGATACAGAGGCAGTGACAATTTTCCCTATGAATCTCCTATTTCTCTTGTTTGTGCCAAATTTAACTATGAAAAAATCACCAGGATGCAGTTCATAATGGACAAAGATTCTCAGATTCTCTAATGTTGCGTATGCTGTCACCTGTGTTCTCTTGCAATCTGGAATTATCATTGATAGAAGGCATTGGTGAGTTTTTTCAGGATCTTAATCAGATTCTTTTTCATCAATTTTAGAACAGTCACTCTCGCCAGAATGAGGGAAATCTTCGAAAGATACACTTTTTCCTGTATGCACAGAAATCCCAGATCACGGTTGTCCCACAGGTGTTTCATCGGTCCCTGGTAATTCTTGCAGCAGTTGGATTAAGGCTTGGTCAACATCCTTTTCATTAGCAGGTTCTTAACAACTCTCAACACCAGGGATACTGCTTATTACTTTATTTGTATTGAATAGATTTGGACACAAAGTAAAGCGATTAAAGGGATAGATCTGGTCAGCATGAATGACTACTGTCGACAATTAACGTCTCTTCAGCTGCAGAGAGTGCAGTTTGTCCCCCTTGGGGACACATCCCTTCTTTTTTTTTATACCTCAGTGTAAAACTGTGTATGGAATGTTGAAATTCCTGGCAGTTTGTTTAATGCTGCACCCTCTTTTCACAGTAGCAACTGCTTGCTCGAATTCATTCTTGCTCCTCTTTACGTAGCCGTTCCCATGAGGATCATGATTTGTGATTTGCAGCATTTAAATTAATTTCCTGTCTTCATTATCTTCTTGGTTTCAAAGGCCTTCACTATGTTCATGATCAGTTCTGGAAATTATATACAAATGGGAATAACAATGATATAGACTTCCCATAAATAAATGCTTCATTACATAAATATCTATAAATCTTAAAATGTTTGTGTGAAGTTATCCATTAGTGCAATGAGGCGGGCCATCTAATGTGAAAAGTACATCTTAAAAACAAAGAAAAATAAGGCTTTTTTAAAAAAAATGTTACTACTTGTGATTTTATGTTGTCTAACCCAATGTTAATGTATGTAAATCTTGCTCTTGTAAAGTTCTTTTTACATTGGGGCATGTAATTAAAAGTTAAATTAATATTAAATTATGTTAATTTAAAAAAAAAAATTTGGTTGTCTTTGCAAGAATGTTTTTAAAAGTGTATTATCAAATCATGAAAACAGTAATGAATATTGAGAATTCTAGTTAATATTTTCCTTCAATAAAACATTTTGAACATAAACATTTTTGCTTTGTTGAAAACTTTGATGTGTCATGTGTGGAGGTTCTTTGTGAAATTAGGAAATGTTAGTTTTATGAGTGTTTAAGGAACTAGTGTTTAAACTTGTTTATGTTCTTGGAAATGAATGTGCATTGAAAAGATAATAAGAAAGATGAAAATGCAGTTATAACAGCTACCTATTTCTTATTTTATTAAAATGAATAGAATGCAATATGAATAAGTAAAGATGAAGTACAAATTTATTCAGATAGTTATTTAATATTTAGTTAGTATTAAGGTAAACAACAAAACTTGAGAAAACCTAAAATATTTAATTTTTATTTATGTTAAATTTATAATAATCTTAAATTCTATTATTTCTTAAAGCATTTATATATATTTTTAATTAATGATGAGTATTAACCATGTTTATGTTGCATTATTTATTAAACAAGTTAACCTAAATTATTTCAAACGGTATCTTGTTAAGGCTTGTAACAAGTTAAACTTCTAATTCTCAGGTACTGTTTCATTTTTTATATGTTCATTTATACAAATCGATAGAATGCATTTTTATAATCTCTTCATGCATTTTATAAATGAAAATCAAGGCACACTAGAAAAGGCATATTTTGGAAAATGAATGTTTAAAGTAGAAAAAAGTCTGGTGGGCATTACTGAAGAGAAAAAAAATATTTAAATCAATTTTACTTTCTTGCCTTTAAGAATGAACTTTTTCTCAATTAAATCATTGCCATCCTACTTTAATGAAATTATGTGTGTGGTTAATCAACACATTTCCTATTTATAGGAATATATAATTAAAATATGTATGTGAATGTGTGAGGCGGAACCCTGTGTTCTTTTAGTTGCAGCTTCAAAATCTTACTTTCGTGACAAGTACATTTATGAGAAAGGGAAGGGAATAATATTTTCAATAACTTATATGATTTCAGGAATGGTCGTTGGCGTTCTCAGTGGGTCATCACTTTTACCTCAGGTACTGCTGAATTGCGAGGATTATTGAAAGTTCAAGTTCATTATTATGAAGATGGCAATGTTCAGCTTGTTAGCTCTAAAGATGTTAAAGAGGTGCTTAATATAAGTGTGAGTATTTTGTGGTGTTATTATAATGGTGAAGGTGGGAGCTGATATTTTTTTATTGTGTTGTTATCTTGATTTTTTTAATTTTTATGGTGTTACTGTTCTTCAGACTGAACAGCAAACAGCTAAAGAGTTCCTGAGGATAGTTGAAGAATCAGAAAATGAATATCAGACAGCCATTTCAGAGAACTACCAGACTATGTCAGATACAACATTTAAAGCGCTACGGAGGCAGTTGCCTGTTACTAGAACAAAGATTGATTGGAATAAAATAGTGTCGTACAGTATTGGAAAGGAGTTGAAAAGCCAATGATGACATTCTTGTTGTTTTTAGTTTGAGTCATTTATACAATGGAATTGATCATTGGAGGGGTTTAGAGTCTTCTTTCCTTTATCCACTTAAGTTTCACTGCCATTAATGATTTAATAAAAAATTATATTTTAAATTTAATAACCCAGATGCTTCCATATTGTAGTATACTACATATCTTATGTGTGATAATACTTCTGGCTGTTGGTTTTTGAAGCATATTTTTGTGTTAAAAGTACAATAGAGAATTTTAAAAATTATATTACTGACACTATGTTCAGCTAATGTGATTTTAGCAAATAGTTTGGCAGCAAGTGATGTTTTAAATAACTGTGTTCAACATCTGTACAAACTATACCAGTGAAAGTATAATGAACTGTACAATTTCAATGAAGTGTGTTAGAGACAATAAGCATCTAAAGCTTAGGTCTATTGAAACACATGGAGTTCCTTTTATATTAGGTAAAATTGTACAGTTGGAATCATGTTGACTAGAAAAAAATTTTATGTGAAGAATAGCAGAGATTTTTCCATTGCAGAGTGGTTTCGTTACTTCTATTGCTGAATTCATGTGAAAAGCAGATATATATTAAAATGTTGAAAATTGCTCATTTCTTAATGAATTCCTCGCTGCTGTGTTTTCAGACAGATTGCGACTGGTTGCATATGTTGAGTGCTTATACTTGAAGTGTGTTTATCAATTTGAACAACAAACCACATAAAGAACATGATGTTTCTAAGAGTATGTTCTGGGTGGAAGAAACTGAATGCAATCTGTTGTGCCATGTGCAAGTGTGTGAGATAACAAAGGCTTCCTTAGTTTTTAATTAAAAAAAATGCAATTGATGGGGTTAAGACTGTTGTCTGGTTGTTAGTAGTGCCTCATTTGGAAGACTTTAGTGACGGTTCTGGTCGTATCTGGTAGTTGTATCTTTCTAATTTTAATCTGACTTTGCACCATGATCGCCTTGATAATTCTGGGCATCTTTGTATTTCTTTTTAAATTCTTTATCCAGTGTCACATAGTTACCCTGATTGGCATAATGCATAAGATTCCTCATTTTAAACTTTTGAGTAAGAATTCTTAATAAATCTTTCTTGTAATATGTCTGTTGGATTATAGGTTCTCTTGTGTGTTTTTTGTGTGTGTTTTGTGCTGTTATGATCCAGAACATCCTGTGTGGTCATGCGTGCCTTTCATCTGGTCTGCAAATTTACCAATTAGAGTTGATCTTTATAAATGTAGTTGAGAAATAAATCATGAATATGCAAATTCATGTCATCTGATAACTTCTGACTTGAAAGAAATTGATATATTTATCAGTCATGTTAACTTTGGCATTAGTGCTATTGTATACACACATAGTCAAAGCAAAGAAAACACCTCCAGGAGTGGATGCAGAAATGGGGTTTAGGTAGTTCTACTCCAAAATGGAACGAACAAGAAAGAAGAAAATATGGTTATCCTGGAAAGCTCAGCTTTAAAGCAATTGTTGGTCATTTTTTAACATAAAAATGTGACATAATGTAAATAATGGCTTATGATGCAGTAGAAGACTATTTAAGCTGGTTTGGAATAGCATTTAGTTCTACATTGGTTCCTGTGGTATAAGATCATCCCATTTCAACTGTACCATCCCTTTGTATGGAAAAATCTACATATGTAATTGTGGATACTTAAAGGATAAAGTCATCTGTGTAAAAGTTTATTTATTATGTTGTAGGTAAAAGGGGAGCAAATTCATAATAGAGCACGCTCAAGCTATAATTCCATGGTTATTCTCTACACGTGTATAAAAGCAATATCATTTAAATTGATCCATAAATTGTTATTGTATATTTAAGCCTGATTATCTGAGTTTTCCTACAATAAATGCATGCCTAATGTTTTTGTTTCATATTGAACTGTTTTATTAAAAATGGTTTAATTTATTAAGACAATGCCCCCTTCAATCAGGTGAGAACAATATTATATTCCAATAATGTAGTATGGTTGGAAGCAAAAATATGTCATTTAAATAGTTAATGTGGAGTCTTATCTTCTTGAAACTAAAAGGATGAACAATGAAAACGGTGTAGGTTAGTAAAGTGTAGTTTTGTGGGTTGTCAGGGTTCTTCTTTGCTTTGTCTAATAATATAAAGATTATAAAATTTAATAGTAAAGATTTTGTAGCATGACCAGATTTTCAGACCAGACAATTTTTTGACCCCTGGGCCATGTGATCAAAAACAGCAGTGTATAAAACAAAGTGAATTAATGTGGAAAATAGTATAGTGGTGTAATTGTGATTTTTAACTTGCTAAAGTGCAGTTTAGTTCTCTTGCAGACTCTGAACCTCCTCATGGTGTGGTGGCTGAGGAATGTTTGTAAATAAATCATCTTCAAATAATGAGCTGTTAATGATTGTTGAGATAGTTTTTAGATACATAATTTGATCACAATCAAATAAACAATTTTTTACATATTTTGGTAGAGGAGGATGTTATTCAAGTGGTGGATATTACTTTTTTTAAATTTCTTAAGTATTCCCTTGTGCTTGTACAAGATACTTTCCTCCTCAGATATGTCGTGTGTCCAAAAGTGAAGCTGACTGTTTGTGTGCAAGGTGAATAAAAGGTACTTCTCATAAGCTGAATTATGTTCAGCATAACCCTTATATATAATATTTGTTAATTTTTTTGGCATTCTGGACCTTCTAACTGCCTTAAAATACAGAATACAATTACATTGCAGATGAGTGCATAATTATTATAATGTTGAATAGTTTCTGTTTATCTGAAGTTGAATAGCTTGTTTTGAAATAAAATTTAGATAAATTACTAGTTATGTTCTCTTTCTATTTTCTCTAGTATCTGGTATCCTTTTCAGTCCTTTTATTTGTTTGGTCAAATTATTACATTCCGTTATGTGTTTCATGTTTGTATATTTCTCTTTTGTTTCACAGCAAAAGTATCAAAATATTTGTACAGTCAAACCTCTAAAACAAGCGTCGATAACACGAATTTTATAAATCTCGGCAATTTTTCATTCCCTGTAGCAGTATGCAATTAAAATGTGCAGTCTTGCTAACACTAATTTTTCGAAAACTCCAAAGATCTAACCCTTTCCTGGAGAGAAAATTTAGTTGATAACTCGTTGGGAAGTATAAGTCAGTACTAGAGGGGGAGTGTGACTCCGCCAACTTTCTCAACCGCTACAAGCCCTGTGGAAAGTGCCCCGCCTTTCCCACGACCGCGTGCTTCAACGTTTGGGCTTGCCTCCGCGGCTTGGTGTCTGGTTGCTCAGAGCTCCGTGTCGAAGATGCGTCCCTATCAGTGCCGTAGTGTGTGTGTAAGGGGTAACACCAATAATAAAATGTTATAGTTGAAATATCAATATTTTTTTAGTACTTAACTATTAATACATTTAATAGTTATGTACTTATATCATAAATAAATATAATAAAATTCTAAGATGAAAGGAATGTAAATTAAAAACATTGTTAATAAGTTATACTTCGTTTTGGATTATATGTTAATTATTTTGAATTACTTAGTTTTTAATGTATTATAACCAGCTGAAGCTACGCGATTCCTATACTTCAAGGCCAAATGGACGATGTTCCTCGCGGACAGAGGGGAGGAAAGGAGGTGCACGAAGTTCAGATAGTCTAGCGGTGGTGAAACTCGCCGTTCGTCTAAAAGAATGTTGGGTGGCACACACAAGATACAGCCGCACACATGCGACATTTCGGTAAATCCCTAGTACTGTGGACGGGTTGCTTGCGATTCGCCGAGCACCGAACATTCGGTATTCGCTCTACCCTCCACGTGTCGGTCTTTAGGACACGTCAAAGAGAGCGAACATTGGCCGAACACATCAGATGTTCCGGATTGGACGAGCAGTAGCTCGCTGCTCGGCTAATGCCAAATGTGTGGAGCCGCCAGGGCAAACCATTAGCTTACTCCACCCCCACGTAAATTAAGAAAGTGGCCACACCCACCGAATGTATCAGCTTTTAGTTCAGAATCCGATTGCGTGGGTGAAGGTCGTGTGCGTTTAATTCATGATGCAATCTGAAAAATGCGTTATAAAACCACTAAGGTAGAGGGAGAATTTTAAAATTATTTATGAAGAGGAAAAAGGCGTTGAAAGGAAAGTTACCGAGGATGAAGTTGGTACCGAAGGAAGTACTCTTCAATTTTAAAAGATAAAATTTACCACGCATTTTGCTGTATAGTAACAAAATGAAGACTTCAAGTCACCTGCATCTGAAAGATGCAATGTTAAAGTGGATGAACTACGCAAAAGATATATTCCAGTACAGGGCTTCTTAACTGTGGAAAAGGTGGAAATGTACCCTTTGGAATTAGAGATTAAATAATTTCAAACGAGAACGCGATGGCTGGAAAATTTGAAAAACTGTAATGGAATTGTGCAGAAAATAATGTATGTTTACAGTGGCACGAGTGAGCGAAAGAGACGACAAATTGTTTACCTTGTTGGAGAACAGAATATTAGATCCAAGGGATGCTTCAATCTGACGAGACATTAGTTTTTGTAATGTTTGCTGGAGAAATACCATTTAAGGGCGAAAAATGTGACTGCAAGACTCGTCATGAGAGGATAATGGAAATGGTTTCTTCGAATGTCAGGAACTTAAAACTGAAAATTTAATTATAATAAGAAGGAAAGTCCAGATGTTTTGTTAAAAAAAGTTATTTAATTCACTACCTATTGACTGAACCTAACGAAAACGTTTTAATGACTAGTGTAGTTTTTAATCTTAGCTACAGAAAAGTATGCAAAGTTTTAGGAGCTTAGAATTGCCATGTCCACTCATTAAAGGGTGTTCGTTTACTACAATTCCTACCTAATATGACTTAATTGCAACCACTCGATCGTGGTTTAATGAAAACTTTAAGTACTTTTACAGAAAGATGACTTCCAAGAGTACCAAGAAATTCTGGATTAAATTACGAAGTCGGTGACATACACTTTATTATGTCCTGATGAATGGTTCGAATTTCGAAATTTCAATCATGTGAAGACTGCTACACCTTTAATACTGATGCAGATCTCCCTGTAGCCGCACACAAGATACAGAAGAGGCGCAGTAAAGAAAATCTTCTGCAACAGGCTCTGGAAAGCTTGGACATTTCCCGACAATATGAACAAGGACAGTTACCAGTTGTAGACGATATTTTTGATGCTGTGAATTTGCTACGTACTGGATTTTGTGGGACAAAGGCTGCTGCAAAGCGAGACAGTATTATACTAATTATTGATTTTGTACGTACCTGATTACTGATTTTTACTTTCTCGCCTTACGAATTCTTCGTAAGAAGAGAAAGTTATGTAATCGTGCGCCGGGAAACAACGAATTTTCTTCAGGAAAAGTATTATTGTCAGGCTGGAAAAAGTGAATGAATCCTACTGCTAAAATTAAGGCGAAAATCCTCTTAACACGTGGCGTAGCCAGAATTCATGTTTTGTTGGTTTTTGATACCGAAAATTCCATTGACAGCAAAACGTCCGTCTGTCGTCAACGGTTAACCATTCAGCGGATTTTCTCCAAAATTGATATTCCTCAATCAATCTGGCTGATGTCGCGACCCCTGAATTTTGAAACCGATATTTTAATTTTTGGGGGTACATTACATGAAATCCCTCAGATATTTTCAAAGAAACCTCTCCAAATTTTTTGATTAAATTTTGTTCCATTGTGCGAAAGACTTTTAAGAGGATGGTGAAGGCCTCATTTGTGGTGATATCTTGGTAATATATGAATTTTCAAAATTTCCTAAAATAAAATAAAACTACAAAATTGGTGAAAGAGGTTTTTGGATCAGACAAAGTCTGTTACACAAAATTAGGTCCTTAAAAATCCATGTTTTGTTGATTCTTGATACCGAAAATTCGATTGACGACAAAATGTCCGTTTGTCTGTCCGTCTGTAGTTAACACTAGCGCCTAAACCGTTCAGCTGATTTTCTTCAAAATTGATACGAGTATATCTTGATTGATTTTAACGAACTGGAGGCTTTGGGAGTTTCTAACGGATATTTTGATTGTTCAAGGTTTTTTTTACATAAATCGTGCATTTACCTTTTTATACCTGTGTCAGAGATCGCACCACGCGTCGCTTCTGTAGCGTTGTGGTACGAGTGCCGGCACGTTAACACTGAGGTTGTGAATTCGAGTCTCGGAGCGGAAAAGTAATTAGCTGTTTGACAACACTTGCTGGTTATATAGTAGTGTAATGTTCCGGAGCTTTTAGAACAATGCGAGAAAGTATGCGCTTTGGCAGCGCCACTAGTTTAACATTAATTAGTGTTTTAGGTATTCAGAACATGCAGATTTTTTTAATGGAACGTTTACTATACTGTAAATTATATGCCAATATTTAAATATTTTTGTGTTTGAACGTTTTTTATTTAATGAGTACAGTGCACTTTGCATTTAAAAAGTAGTTCTGTCTTTTTTTAAACAATATATTTCATAAATCGAAGAACCCTTTTTGCCCAACGTGAAGAACCTTAGTGTATTCCATTTTGAGTTTCTGCGCATGTGTAGGGGCTCAAAACTGGTACACGATTACGTGCTTCACGGTATGTAATGAGTTTAATTAAGCACTTTAAGCATGGCACATCTTAACCCTTACAGACATGAAATTCGAAGACATGGAGTCAAACTGACTCCTCTCATAAAATTTTCATTTGTAACTTCCGTTTGTACTGACCTTCACTGTCCACAGCCGTCCTCTGTCTTATCCCGTCGGATAAGATAAGCACAATTCCATCTCACAGGCGAGCAGCGAGTTGGTGATACCTTCTGAGGGCTGTCCATTTTCACACTACGCGGTGCTTGAAATATTCTCCATTAGTTAAATTTTGAGTAACTTCCCGTGTGTTTCGGCTGCTAAAATTTTGTAAATACTTAAAAAAATACTTTTATGAAAATGGCGCGTCACACCTTGAGTGATATTTTTAGTCTTGAATGTTGCGAAAAATTAAAATTGCAAAAGTACAATATTAATTATAGAGAGCTCTTCTTTAAATAAATATGTTTTAAAGTATTCAAGTTTTAAAAAAGTTCCTATATATTTAAAAAAAGTAATACTTTTCACGTAATTATTGCTGGAAGTAAATGAAATTTTAAAAAACTCAAAAACGGCTCAATTTTTTTTCCTTGGATGCAACAAATGACGGTTAAAAATGACGCAGGTCCCATTTTCGGCGAGTTCTCTGCATATTCGAAAGTTACAAACAAAAAATAACGTAGCAATTTTACAATATTGATGATACAGAGTTTTTCATTATTGAAATCTGTTCTTTAAAACTAGATCTTGAAATAATATAAATTAAAAATCTGAATTTTTGAAACGTTCAAATACATATGATCAATTATTTTAGATAGAATGAGATGGGTTTGAAAGGATTTCTAGAAGGCATTTGCCTGCAAAACAAGGCTGAAAAAGCATCTTTTGGGATATTTTCCAAAATCATTCATTTTAAACTCAAGTTACAAAAATAAATGTACGAGCTAGTAGCTTCTAATTATGTATTCTGAAAAAAGTAATGTTGGTAATAATGTATGGAATTTGTGGTGTTTCTTTAGATTGGCTATGTTCGTACTTTAACAACGATCTCAGATGCTCAGACCTAAACAACGATCTCACTTGCTTTCTTCTTCAAAAGAGGAAATTAAATATTTCACAGAAAAGCAATTATGGATAACACAAGGGATTAGGACATCATGTAAAAACAAACGAATTCTTTCTGTCATTTCTAAGCATCATGAAGTATCTCAAGGTTTCCTCCTATACTTTAAAAAATACAAATCAT